CCATAAAGCGCAATCGAAAAACAGAGTTCCCGATCATTCTCTGGCGCCAGGCTGGTCGACCACGTGTCTTCTCCTGGGCATCTCTGCCGCCGCCTCGGGTGCCAGTTGTGGGGAGGGTTCGGGACTTCGGGTTCTGGGTCTAGGGCGTTTAGGGTTTAGGGGGTTTCCCAAGAGCCACCCCCTGCCACCACCCACCCATCCCCTCCAACTCCACCCTGTGGGGTTTCGGATGCACTTTGAATTTGGGTTCGGGGCTCTGATCTTGGGGCTTGGATCCGGACTCTGGCTTCTGATTCTACGGTGACTCCCAGCAAGCGGGAGCATGGCTTTAGTGCATATTAGTGCTGGGATTTCTTTCTGCTTTACCATGATGATGTTCCAAGATCCTGGCTTGTAGTTTAAAGCTTCAGCTCCTTGGGCTCGGTTTTCAGCTTGGCTCTTCTTTGTACTCGGTGCTCTCGCAGGGCCTGGGCCCCGCCCTTGGGTGGCCCTGCACGCAAGGATGGCATGGAGACTTGAAATGTCTAACATTGGGGCGGAATAGGTCGTAGCAGTATTGCTATTCTTTATGGTCCCTGCCCTAACTGTACCTGTTCTACTTGTTAAGTCCCCCAGAGCTCCAACAAGCCTGGCGACTCGCAGTTCCGAAACCTAGACAATAGGACAGCAGTCTCGATCTTGTTAACAAGTACCTACTAAGGGAGCTTGATCAAACGTGTTGGACTGCTCTATAGAGTACTATAGAGCCAGGAACTGTCCAAAACTACATTATGAGTTAAACCGGGTGGGGCAAGGGTTGGTGCGTTGGGCGGGGTGTGGGCCTGGGGGGTGGTGGAGGATGGGCGGAAATGGTGCGTAGGTAGGTGGGCTGGCAGATGTCTTGGCAATGTGAAGATTCAGGTCTTGGTCGTGCGCAGGCTGCAGAGCTATCGTAACTTGGCAGCAATGAGCAGCCCTGTCGGAAGCAGGGCGCAGGTTTCTGAAGCAACACTCGAGTAACTTTCACATTGGCGCTGCTGCAGATTACTTCTTGCGCTTGGCCGAGATCTATGCCTGACTCCCAGATGGGTAGTTCTCTAAATTAAGGTCCCTTTTTGGGTTCCCGAAATAATACGGCACCCTTAGAAAGGGACCCTAAAATGGACCCTAATTTGGAGAACTACCAGATCAGCTTCAGTGTCAAGTCTTCTGCATTTCCGCTCTTGCGAGGTCACGGCAGCTTTTCCGATTGCATTCTATTTCACGTGCAAGACCTTGCAGAAGGCGGCGTGCATTCTTGGATGATGCAGATCTTGTCGTGACTGTCCAGCTCAATCGAAGTCTAAGATGTTCTAAGTGCTCTACTTCATATGCTCTCTCGTGCCTGCCACTCAAAACAACTAAGCCAAAGTAAAGCCCAGTACTGTCAGTACTGCACCTTCCATGCAAAACCGTCCCAAATGAACAGGAGTACTGTGCCTGCCATGCATTCCGTGCACTGTGCTTGCTGCATATATGAAGGCATGTACGTGTGTGTGTGTGTGTGTGTGTGTGTGTGTGTGTGTGCGTGCGTGCGCGCGCGTGTGTCTGTGTCTGCGTGTGTGTGTGTATGTATGTAT